CGGCAGATTTAATGCGCACATTAACATGCGTCGATGTCGGTTTTGCGGCAGATTTAATGCGCACATTAACATGCGTCGATGTCGGTTTTGCGGCAGATTTAATGTGCACATTAACATGCGTCGATGTCGGTTTTGCGGCAGATTTAATGCGCACATTAACATGCGTCGATGTCGGTTTTGCGGCAGATTTAATGCGCACATTAACATGCGTCAATGTCGGTTTTGCGGCAGATTTAATGCGCACATTAACATGCGTCGATGTTGGTTTTGCGGCAGATTTAATGCGCACATTAACATGCGTCAATGTCAGTTTTGCGGCAGATTTAATGCGCACATTAACATGCGTCAATGTCAGTTTTGCGGCAGATTTAATGCGCACATTAACATGCGTCAATGTCAGTTTTGCGGCAGATTTAATGCGCACATTAACATGCATCGATGTCAGTTTTGCGGCAGATTTAATGCGCACATTAACATGCATCGATGTCAGTTTTGCGGCAGATTTAATGTGCACATTAACATGCGTCAATGTCAGTTTTGCGGCAGATTTAATGCGCACATTAACATGCATCGATGTCAGTTTTGCGGCAGATTTAATGCGCACATTAACATGCGTCGATGTTGGTTCTGCGGCAGATTTAATGCGCACATTAACATGCATCGATGTTGGTTTTGCGGAAGATTTAATGCGCACATTAACATGCGTCGATGTTGGTTTTGCGGCAGATTTAATGCGCACATTAACATGCGTCGATGCCGTGATCCAGCCCGCAGCACGAGCGATGGATGGCAGCGTTGATAGATGCGATGGTGGGAATGGTGCCGGCGTGGCGATAGAAATGTCGCTCTTTGGGTCGGCCGTGCGTCTGCTCAGCGTTCTCGGAGACCTCGCGGCGTGTAATGAGCCCCCCCCTCACTATGACTCCTCCTCCTACCAGAAGAACACAGCTGCTGCGGCCGGGCGAAGCGCCGTGAGGTCTCTCCAACATAAACGGCTGCGATCTCCTCCCATCACGAGGCCATAAAGCTGATTTATTATAAATACGTTTCTGCTTTGTTTACAGAGCGAATGTTTTGCTTCGCGGTAATTAGCACATTAGGATCTCTCACAGTGAGTGCTTTCAGGTGTTCGCAGCGGTGGCCGGAGAAACCGCCATCGACCACGAAACCTCACAGAGCCCGACGGCCTCCCCACCTTATATCACGAATAGAAAAACCGCCAATTAAAGCGATAAAACACAAAATTCAAACAGCTTACCGATCCTTAGAGGCGACGGCTGCATTCGTTTTCTTTTTTTGTAGGCTTTCTTTGCTGACGATCCAGCCAGCAAGTCTGTTTTTTTTTGTTTGTTTTTTTTAACAGAACAAGCTGTCCTGCAGATGTAGCAGTTAGAGAGTTGGGACAAACCATTCAGGGGTGCTTACAATGATCAGCTTTTATTTATTCATGTAAAAACCTTTCAGGCTGGTTCCAGGGGTGGACTGGCAACTCATGGGGCCCCCGGGCAATAGGGGATCATGGGGCCCCCGGGCAATAGGGGATCATGGGGCCCCTGTGTCCTTGCCCAAACTCAAAAAAGCCTATGAAAAAGGTACCAGGGGCATTTCATGGGGCCCCCTACTGACCCCAGGCCCTCGGGCACTGCCCAAGTTTCCAAATGGTCAGTCCGCCCCTGACTGGAACACATCTGGACTGGATTCCTATGGTGTACCTACCGGCCCTTCATGTAACTAGTTATAAAGTGTCAGCTTCAATGTGTTAGTGTATCTAAATCTGCTAGTCCATCTAACACTCCCCTCCCCCGCAGACTGACAATGCTGCTGCCCAAAGGTGTCTCCATTGTTTCTCCATCCAGAGTGGGGGCGCTCTGATACAGGATGGAGACATGGATGAATGAATGGATGGATGGATGGATGGATGGAGACATGGATGGATGGATGAATGGATGGATGGATGGATGGAGACATGGATGGATGGATGAATGGATGGATGGATGGAGACATGGATGGATAGATGGATGGATACATGGATGGATGGAGACATAGATGGATGGATGGATGGATGGAGACATGGATGGATGGATAAATGGATGGATGGAGAGAGACATGGATGGATGGATACATGGATGGATACATGGATGGATGGAGACATGGATAGAAGGATGGATGGAGACATGGATAGAAGGATGGAGATATGGATGGATGGATGGATGGATGGATGGATGGAGACAAGGATGGATGGAGACAAGGATGGATGGATGGAGACATGGATGCATGGAGACAAGGATGGATGGATGGATGGATGGAGACATGGATAGAAGGATGGAGATATGGATGGATGGATGGATGGAGGAATGGATGGATGGATGAATGGATGGATGGATGGAGACATGGATGGATAGATGGATGGATACATAGATGGATGGATGGATGGATGGAGACATGGATGGATGGATAAATGGATGGATGGAGAGAGACATGGATGGATGGATACATGGATGGATACATGGATGGATGGAGACATGGATAGAAGGATGGATGGAGACATGGATAGAAGGATGGAGATATGGATGGATGGATGGATGGATGGATGGATGAATGGATGGATGGAGACATGGATGGATGGAGACATGGATGGATGGATTGATGGATGGATGGATTTGATGGATGGATGGAGACATGGATGGATGGATATAGACATAGATGGATGGATAGAGACATGGATGGATGGAGACATGGATGGATGGATGGATGGATGGAGACATGGATGGATGGACACATGGATGGATGGATGGAGACATGGATGGATGGACACATGGATGGATGGAGACATGGATGGATGGACACATGAATGGATGGACACATGGATGGATGGACACATGGATGGATGGATGGATGGATGGACACATGGATGGATGGAGACATGGATGGATGGATGGATGGATGGATGGAGACATGGATGGATGGACACATGGATGGATGGACACATGGATGGATGGAGACATGGATGGATGGACCGATGGGATGGATGGATGGATGGATGGATGGATGGATGGATGGGGGAGATTGCTTTGAATAATATAAATGAATTGGTGTTTTTGGCTCACATGCATTCCCACAATGTTTCGACAGATTTATAGCCCGTGTTCAGTCATGCGGCATTTTATGTGCAGAATCGGCTCCCATACGTGTGAATACAATCCGACTACTGCGGACCAAACACGGGTCCTGCACCTTTCTGGTGCGACTAGAACTATACAGAATGTACGACTTGGACCGCACACACATCACATGTAACGTGCACAGGAATGCGGTGTGGTTCCCGTGTGAATCACATGCAATGTACCGCACCGCATACAGTGAAGGAAATGTGTATTTGCCCCCCCGATGCTGAATGTTCGCCCCTCACACAGAAATGATCGGTCTAACAATGGAATGTTCGCCCCTCACACAGAAATGATCGGTCTAACAATGGAATGTTCGCCCCTCACACAGAAATGATCGGTCTAACAATGGAATGTTCGCCCCTCACACAGAAATGATCGGTCTAACAATGGAATGTTCGCCCCTCACACAGAAATGATCGGTCTAACAATGGAATGTTCGCCCCTCACACAGAAACGATCGGTCTAAAAATGGAATGTTCGGTGTAACACTGAGAGACAGAATACAACAACAAATTCAGCAGAAATGCGTCTAACAAATGATGACGGATCTGCATGTTCATGAGGGAAAGAAGGATTGGATCCCCTTCACAAAACATGACTTAGTACTTGGTGGCAAATCCCTTGTTGGCAATCAGAGGTCAGACGTTTCCTGGAGTTGGCCCCCAGGTTCGCACACATCTCAGGAGGGATTTTGGCCCACTCCTCTTGGCAGATCCTCTCCAAGTCATTAAGGTTTGGTGGCTGACGTTTGGCAATTCGAACTTTCAGCTCCTCCACAGATTTTCCATCGGATGAAGGTCTGGAGACTGGCTAGGCCACTCCAGGACCTTAATGTGCTTCTTCTTGAGCCGCTCCTTTGTTGCCTTGGCCGTGTGTTTTGTGTCCTTGTCATGCTGGAACACCCATCCACCACCCATTTTCAATGGCCTGGCCAGAAGGTTCTCACCCAAGATTTGAGGGTACATTGCCCCGCCCATCGTCCCTTTGATGCGGTGCAGTTGTCCTGTCCCCTTAACAGAAAAACACCCCCAAAGCAGAGTGTTTCCTCCACCATGTTTCACAGTTGGGATGGTGTTCTTGGGGTCATCGGCAGCATTCCTCCTCCTCCAAACACAGCGAATTGAGTTGATGCCAAAGAGATGGATTTTGGTCTCCTCTGACCACAACACTTTCAACCAATGTAAGGGACGTTCTTCCCACTGACCACCAATGTAAGGGACATTCTTCCCACTGATCCCCAATGTAAGGGACATTCTTCCCACTGACCCCCCAATGTAAGGGACATTCCTCCCACTGACCCCCAATGTAAGGGACATTCTTCCCACTGACCCCCAATGTAAGGGACATTCTTCCCACTGACCCCCCAATGTAAGGAACATTCTTCCCACTGACCCCAATGTAAGGGACATTCTTCCCACTGACCCCCAATGTAAGGGACATTCTTCCCACTGACCCCCAATGTAAGGGACATTCTTCCCACTGACCCCCAATGTAAGGGACATTCTTCCCGCTGATCCCCAATGTAAGGGACATTCTTCCCACTGACCCCCAATGTAAGGGACATTCTTCCCACTGACCCCCAATGTAAGGGACATTCTTCCCACTGACCCCCAATGTAAGGGGCATTCTTCCCACTGACCCCCAATGTAAGGGACATTCTTCCCACTGACCCCCAATGTAAGGGACATTCTTCCCACTGACCCCCCAATGTAAGGGACATTCTTCCCACTGACCACCAATATAAGGGACATTCTTCCCACTGACCCCCAATGTAAGGGACATTCTTCCCACTGACCCCCAATGTAAGGGACATTCTTCTCACTGACCCCCAATGTAAGGGACATTCTTCCCACTGACCCCCAATGTAAGGGACATTCTTCCCACTGATCACCAATGTAAGGGACATTCTTCCCACTGACCCCCAATGTAAGGGACATTCTTCCCACTGACCCCCAATGTAAGGGACATTCTTCCCACTGACCCCCAATGTAAGGGACATTCTTCCCACTGACCCCCCAATGTAAGGGACATTCTTCCCACTGACCCCCAATGTAAGGGACATTCTTCCCACTGACCCCCAATGTAAGGGACATTCTTCCCACTGACCCCCCAATGTAAGGGACATTCTTCCCACTGACCCCCAATGTAAGGGACATTCTTCCCACTGACCCCCAATGTAAGGGACATTCTTCTCACTGACCCCCAATGTAAGGGACATTCTTCCCACTGACCCCCCAATGTAAGGGACATTCTTCCCACTGACCCCCAATGTAAGGGACATTCTTCCCACTGACCCCCAATGTAAGGGACATTCTTCCCACTGACCCCCAATGTAAGGGACATTCTTCCCACTGACCCCCCCCAATGTAAGGGACATTCTTCCCACTGACCCCCAATGTAAGGGACATTCTTCCCACTGACCCCCAATGTAAGGGACGTTCTTCCCACTGACCTCCAATGTAAGGGACATCCTTCCCACTGACCCCCAATGTAAGGGACATTCTTCCCACTGACCCCCAATGTAAGGGACATTCTTCCCACTGACCCCCAATGTAAGGGACATTCCTCCCACTGACCCCCAATGTAAGGGACATTCTTCCCACTGACCCCCAATGTAAGGGACATTCGTCTGAAAGTTATTTCAAGGGTTCCTCTGTGTAACATACGTTGAGGAGGACTGCTCTAGCATTTGCAGATAATGGAGGGACATGTCTTGGGCGGGGCGACCCTTCGATGTTGGCGATGGCAGAATTTCTGGTCTCCAAGTCTATGATACGAATACGATGATAATATTGGTGTCATACAAGCACCCTCAGACTGGAAAAGTCTTCACTCCTGGTGGCCCCCGTTGGGCTCTCTGTTGGTATGTTCCACCAAGCAGGTACATTATATGGAATTCAGTATTCCAGCAAGATTTCAGGTCTCTGCCCTGGATGTCCTCATGGGACCGGGCCTTTAATGTTGCCTCTGTAGGCTTCCTTCCCTTCTTAAACAAACACTTGGCTCCTCGAAATCAGCGGTTCTGAGCCCTGTAATTAGTAAACCGAGTTGCAAAGAATAGCCAATCGGACGAGCGCACGTCATATATGTATGTGTGGAGTGCCGGTCCTTCCTTTCCCAAAATAAGGCTCGGACGAGGTTCTCTGAGGACAGATGAGCGAATTTCTTCTCCAACGCCTCTAACAGCTCGTGTCCGAAGGGCTTTGCGAAAACATTAATTGTCTGTTTTGCTAAAGAAAGAAGTTTATACTCCGGATGAAGCCCATCCCGGTCCCTCTTTTATAGGCGAATTGTTTTTTGGAGACCACGTTGGCCGATTGTAATAGGCAGATGCCGCGGTAGATCTTCGTTTTACTGCGAACTCGCGTTCCCCTTGCAGTAAATATCGGTCCTGCCTGGGTGGGGGGGGGAGACAATGGGCCATAAAATTAGTTAAGTGACTCTAAAATGATGTTTCCTGTTTGAAAGATTTAGCTCCTCATAACAACTCTTCGGATCCCGTAATATAAATATTTGCAGCTATTTGTGGGGCATAACCCGGCGGAGATATATGAGCGAGGAACGCATGAGCAGATCCTCATTCCTCTGGAGCTTCGGCATTCACAGCCCACATGCAGACCCGGGGAAATCAAGTGTGTAGAAATCTATTTTTCTAACAATAAAACTTCTGGTGATTTAAAGAACATGTCCACCTTGGAACTGAACTTTAAAGCTGAACTCCAAGCAAGCGGCTCACCGAATTACACCAATGTGTGAGCCGTCCTAGCCGCCCAAGGGTTTAGCCGGCCATGCGATCCAGGCTGCCCTGCCGGACGGTACCTAAAGGTCCTTGGCCTCACTTTTCTGCAGTGCAGTTAAAGAAGTTCTACCGTTGGAATTGTTACTTTACAGGTCTGGCCCCTACGGATCAAAGCACTTTGCCTCGTGTTTCTAACTCTAGTTGTGAGGTCCAACCTGCCCTCCTCCATTCCTGCCATGGCCGATGTGACAACAGCTTTGAAGGAGACGGCTGGTTTATAGCTGCAGCTTGGCCATGAGCACTTTCCTGAGTCAAGGAATGCCAAGAGGAATGCAGAGGAAGGGGGGACGTGTCAGCCTTCTCTTCAAAGCTGTTGTCAGATCAGTCATGGAAGGATGGGAGAGGGACCTCAAAACTAGGGTTGGGTGGGTGAAGCTGAACGTTGTACTGAGTGTTGCTTGCATTAAGGACCCGATGCATTCAGGGACAAATGCCAGCAAGCGTGCAATGGTCAGGACTGGCTAGCAGCGGCCAGAGGCATAGCCCATCATCCCAAGGTTCAGGACAGGCAGCAACCAGTAGAGTATCTGTTATCCATGAAGAAAGGTCACAGCTGGCAGCAATAGGAAGAGTAATGGGGTCAGTAACAGGAGAATACAGAGACAACAGACGAGGGTGCAAGAGCCAGGGAGCAAAACTATCACAAACTCAGTGTCCAGGACTGGGAGGAGAGTGACACGCCCATGGCTAAGAGGAGAGTGACACGCCCAGGACTGGGAGGAGAGTGACACGCCCATGGCTAAGAGGAGAGTGACACGCCCAGGGCTGGGAGGAGAGTGACACGCCCATGGCTAAGAGGAGAGTGACACGCCCAGGACTGGGAGGAGAGTGACACGCCCATGGCTAAGAAGAGAGTGACACACCCAGGACTGCAAGGAGAGTGACACGCCCATGGCTGGGAGGAGACTGACGCCCATGGCTGTGAGGAGAGTGACACGCCCAGGACTGCGAGGAGAGCGACATGCCCATGGCTGCGAGTAGAATGACATGCCCATGGCTGCAAGGACAGTGAGATGCCCATTGGAATTGTTACTTTACAGGAGTAGAATGACATGCCCATGGCTGCAAGTAGAGTGAGATGCCCATGGCTGCAAATAGAGTGAGATGCCCATGGCTGCAAGTAGAGTGAGATGCCCATGGCTGCAAATAGAGTGAGATGCCCATGGCTGCAAGTAGAGTGAGATGCCCATGGCTGCAAGTAGAGTGAGATGCCCATGGCTGCAAGTAGAGTGAGATGCCCATGGCTGCAAGTAGAGTGAGATGCCCATGGCTGCAAGTAGAGTGAGATGCCCATGGCTGCGAGGAGAGCAACACACCCATGGCTGCAAGTAAAATGACATGCCCATGGCTGCAAGGAGAGTGAGATGCCCATGGCTGCAAGGAGAGTGAGATGCCCATGGCTGCGAGGAGAGTGAGACATCCAGGGCTGCGAGGAGAGCGACACGCCCATGGCTGCGAGGAAATTGATACACCTATGGCTGCGAGTAGAATGACACGCCCATAGCTGCGAGGAGAGCAATATGCCCATGGCTGCGACGAGACCTCACGTCTCAATGATCCGGGACCCAGCAGAGTAAGAATCTGGACAGTCAGGACACGCCCTCTGCGCAGCACATACACTCCCCTTCTACAAAGCTGGGTACGTCATAGGCTAGGCCCATACACTAAATTTTTATTAGTTGCCAAACTAAAGGAGACGATCGTTACACCTGGAGGAAAGGGAGTGAAATCCCTGAAAATGGAAAAGGCTTCTTTACAGTGGGAGCTGCAAAAAAAAAAGTGCAATAGACTTCGATAAGTGATAACCAAAAACGCTCCAAATGGACAAAATATCTTCGTAAATCAGGGAACTCCAAACTTTCCAAACAAAGGGTCAGTCTACTGTACTTCAAACTTTATGGGGCCAGTCAGAGTAGAAAATATCTTGGTGTCAGTGGATGGAATAGTGTCCCATCATTGGTATCAGTGGATGGAATAGTGTCCCATCATTGGTGTCAGTGGGAGGAATAGTGCCCCATCATTGGTGTCAGTGGGAGGAATAGTGCCCCATCATTGGTGTCAGTGGGGGGAATAGTGCCCCATCATTGGTGTCAGTGGGAGGAATAGTGCCCCATCATTGGTGTCAGTGGAAGGAATAGTGCCCCATCATTGGTGTCAGTGGGAGGAATAGTGTCCCATCATTGGTGTCAGTGGGAGGAATAGTGCCCCATCATTGGTGTCAGTGGGGGGAATAGTGCCTCATCATTGGTGTCAGTGGGAGGAATAGTGCCCCATCATTGGTGTCAGTGGGAGGAATAGTGCCCCATAATTGGTGTCAGTGGGAGGAATAGTGCCCCATCATTGGTGTCAGTGGGGGGAATAGTGCCCCATCATTGGTGTCAGTGGGAGGAATAGTGCCCCATCATTGGTGTCAGTGGGAGGAATAGTGTCCCATCATTGGTATCAGTGGATGGAATAGTGCCCCATGATTGGTGTCAGTGGGAGGAATAGTGTCCCATCATTGGTGTCAGTGGGAGGAATATTGCCCCATCATTGGTGTCAGTGGGGGGAATAGTGCCCCATCATTGGTGTCAGTGGGGGGAATAGTGCCCATCATTGGTATCAGTGGGAGGAATAGTGCCCCATCATTGGTGTCAGTGGATGGAATAGTGTCCCATCATTGGTGTCAGTGGGAGGAATACTGTCTCATCATTGGTGTCAGTAGGAGAAATATTGCCCCGTCATTGGTATTAGTGGGAGGAATAGTGCCCCATCATTGGTGTCAGTGGGAGGAATAGTGCCCCATCATAGGTGTCAGTGGGAGGAATAGTGCCCCATCATAGGTGTCAGTGGGAGGAATAGTGCCCCATCATTGGTATCAGTGGGAGGAATAGTGTCCCATCATTGGTGTCATTGGAAGGAATAGTGTCCCATCATTGGTATCAGTGGGAGGAATAGTGCCCCATCATTGGTGTCAGTGGGAGGAATAGTGCCCCATCATTGGTGTCAGTGGGGGGAATAGTGCCCCATCATTGGTATCAGTGGGAGGAATAGTGTCCCATCATTGGTGTCATTGGAAGGAATAGTGCCCATCATTGGTATCAGTGGGAGGAATAGTGTCCCATCATTGGTGTCAGTGGGAGGAATAGTGCCCCATCATTGGTGTCAGTGGGAGGAATAGTGCCCCATCATTGGTATCAGTGGGAGGAATAGTGTCCCATCATTGGTG